ATACCAACTGATGATTGTTCATACTTTGTCAAGATTAAAAACAAAAAAGTAGTAGCAAACGGTGGAGGTCAAGGTAGGCATCAATCGTGGCATAACTAAGGATGTTGATTTGCGATCCCCCATGAAATGCATCACATATATGCTTTATTGATTTCAAAATAACTATGTTGATAATGGAATCGCCAAAATGTGATTGGGTGGAATTGATAATAGTCTTTTTTACTCATCTTAATTACTTTAAGTACTTATTTAAAGGATATTTTGGAATTATATATATGTGTATATTTATTAACTGTAAAAAAAAGTAAAAAATAAAATAAAATAAAAATAAATAATTATGATATATGTTCTCACCTGAGATCGCTCTAAGGGGCGATCACTCTGATGAGATTGGTGAGTCTCTTCTTCTTGGTACGTAAGTTATGCCAATATGGGATGATACCTGCAAAAGAGACTCCGACACTAAAGTTAGTTATTGATAGTGTAGATGTCTCGTATATAGATAGTAGACGTACCTTGGTGATTAGGGTTTTTCCCTTTCAATGAGGGTAGAATTAAGGTCGATCCAACATTGGTCGTGAGCCTAATTAACTATAGACTCGCACATGTGACTGATGTCGTAATATAATTAAGGCCGACGTGAAATTCGGTATTTAGTGTGAGCAGTACAATATATATTTATAATTACTCTGATACATGGATTATTATCGAAAAATCTTTAACAAAATAATCATTAAAAAAATCTAACAACTATCACAACTCAGAACATTCAGTAAATATAATCTAAATCTAAATTTTAAAATGTCCTTCTATATGTTAAGAATACCTCGAGATCATAATCATGTATCTGCTTTGATTCCCATCGAAAATTTGCAACTAATGCTCCCAAATATTATCACTTAATAACCATTTTCAATCACATGCCATTAATATCTCATGATCCCATAAATTACATCACTCTTCCTACTTATCATGATAGGTCTCTGAACACCAAAATATATTTAAAATATATCCATAATTGTATAAATACCGATCCGCAATAGGGTCGATGTGCAAGCTACCCATAAGGTATAATGATAAAAGTTAATTAAATTAAATTGTTATATATAAATACAATATTTTCAAAATGCAATTACTTGCAAATATTAATATCTTAATATTTGTTTTCATTTCATTATTAAGCGATACTCGTTTAATAATCTATTTACGAATGGTTGTGGATTTAAATGGAAATACATTCGGCTGAAATGTCTTCTTATTAACCAGTTCCCCTATGCACTGTTATATTGTTAGTACTGTAGTAGTGTTATATTGCTTTCCCAGCAGACGTGACCCTGGCCCATGGCTCCGTAATAATAATAGCGCCACTACTTAAAAAACAGGCCATGGGGAGAATTCAAAAAGGCCTTATCCACTTTCTTAAATCAAAAGAAGGGCCCAACAATGACCCATCGCAATAATGTCCTTCCTAACCGTGTTCTTTAGAAAACGATACTCACTTTTGTCTCCAAGTAAACATGTTGCCTTCCACTCCCTCTCCCACCCACACCACCACCAAAGGTGAAGACATTTTAGACCTGCCTCCTCAAATACGACGTCGCATCGTGTATCCTCAAGAAGCGCAACCCAAAGCCACCCCTTCACAGAAGACATGGATTTTTTATTATTTATTATTAAAGTGAAAAAAAATTATTTTCTTAATTTTAAATTTTCTAATACTTATATACAAATCACAGAAAACATAAAAATGTAAAATTAATTATATATAATATTAGTTATTAATTATTTGATGTTTAAAAAGAAATGAGAAGTTATAAACATGTATTTATTTATAGGAATTCAGCCCAATGTCTGAGCTGGCCCTCGGGATTAAGCAATCTATCGAAGGCCTTTCGCATATTTTACAAAGCCAAATCTCTCTCTCACCAAAAGAAAAATTTATTAGGAGAAAACTCAAGTTATTTACGTGATGTCGGTATAATTTTTTAATTAAAATTTGTATGTGTAAATATATATTAAATATAAGTGTTGTATTGTGGTGGTCTTTTATTGATCCAAAAGTCTTTTAGACAATTGATAAAAATTCTTTACGGAAAATAAGCAGATTATTTAAACTTTTCACACTTTTGTACTTGAATATAGAGGATTATATATCGATTATATCTATCATCCATTAATTAACATTAAGTCTCAAAAAGATCAATTTATACTTCAATCTCTCATAACTTGACTATCTCTTATTTATGTAAATGATGACCGAGTATTTAAATGATCAATAACAAGATTTAGTGATCTTCAAAATAAATAAAATAATAATTATAAATATTAAAATTTATGAATTTATTAATGATAATAATGATATGACGAGATTTATGAAATTGTAGTAAAAAGTATAAAATTTGATTCTATAATATTACACTAATATAAATAATGATAATTAGTTATACTAAAGTACTCACTCAAACAATTGCTGTATCTTTCTAGAAAAAAACTTTATACTAGAATAAATGTATATTAATTTTATTTTATTAAATATAAGTGTATATTAATTTTGATTAAAATATAATATTAATTACATTTAAAGGATTGTACTTAAATTTTATTTTTTTAATTAAATTAAATTTTCTAAAAGAATCTTTAAAGAAGTGGATTGGTTCACGTGCCGAATCGTTTAGGACAGTCGTGTCAAGCATTGGGAAAGCCTTGGGTGATGAGTTTTCACTCACCGTTTGATTCTGATGGTGTGGGTCTAGGTTGGTGAGTTGCAGTCAACGTTTCCAGTTTTATCCAAACCATCAACATATTTTAATATTGTTACCACTGCTTATCGTTTATAGTGTATTTGGATGAAAAATTTTACAAATTTAACGAATTTTAAATTTTTGGTATTTGAATTACTTTGATTTTAATTTCTATCATTTTTAAAATATTTTGTTTGGATGAGTCAATTTAAATTTCTTAAATTTTAAATTGTTAGGTTGAATATGATAATTTGATTCTATCGTAGTAAAATTGATTTTAAAAATATATTTATATGTTGAAAATTTTAAATTAAATTTTATAAAAATAAATATTAATCTATTTTTAAATATTTAATAATTTTAAAAATTAATATAAGATAATATTTAATAATTTTAAAAATATTTTTAAATATCCAATAATTAAAAGAATAAAGAGATAAGATAAAATATATAGGTGAAATAAGAAAAACAAATATGAGGAATTTCAAATTCTCTCATTTTTGAGAGAATTTGAAATTCTACTATTTTAAAAAATTTCACAAATGCTTGGATTTCAAATTCTTTGTAAATTCCTCATCCAAACAAAGCATTTCTCCTCAAGAAATTTGAAATTCTTCAAATAAATGAATTATCTTATATAAATTCCTCATTCAAACAGTTTTCTTTTATATATTATCTCTATCCCGATATAAAACTCTTTTATTTTACTGTTTATCTTTTTTTTATTTATAATAATTAGTTATTTAATCTGTATATTTAATGGGTTAAATTTTTATTATATATAACTATTTTTTTAATACATTATATAGAAATAAATATTATATTTAAAATATAAATTAAATTTTTATATTTATATAAATAGATATTTTTA